CGCCGAGGCGGGCGAGAGCGGAGGGAGGGACCGGTGTGGGGCCGACGGACGGGGGAGGGCGCCGGGTGGCGGTGCTTTCGACTGGGGTGGGGGCGAGGGCCGCGCCGCTTCGCGCTCCCCGCCGGCGGGCTGGCTCGTCTGGCGGGCGCGGTCGGGCTGTGGCGTTAGGTGAGCGGGATTGCAGGCGGGACGCGCCAGGGCTGCGCTCGCCACCGCACGGCCCCATTCTCTCCTCCGTTACTATAGTTTTCAAAAAAAAAAAAAAACCTCTCGTCCGTTCTCACCACCCCCCAAGAAAAGAATTTTTTTTTTTTTAACGTCCTGTTGCTTCACGGGGGACTTTCGGGGTAGGCGTCACGTGGCCCGACACGTAGCCGTAAGGTCCGACAGCGCGTGCGCGCGTCGAGTCCGGCGGCCACGCCCCTTCCGAGGGTCGCTCCGCCCCTGCCAGGGCCCCGCGAGCGAAGGGGGAGGGGCAGGGTCTGCCGCGCGCCTGCGTGGGGCGGGCCGGGGCGTGGGCGGGGGCTGGCGCAGGGGCGCGCCGTGGGGGGAGGGGGTGGGACGATCGGGCCGTCGGACCCCTAAGTGGAGGGGTGGGGGCCAGAAGCTGCGGAATCCTCGCTCCCTGGTGTCGGGTTCTCTTCCGCAGGACGCGTTCCCGGTGGGCTCTGATTGCTGCTGTGTCGTTGGTGGCACCGCACGACGACACCGCCCCCCCCCGCGTCCCCCCGGTCTCTGACCTCGAGAGCCACGCTGCGGGAAGGAGCCTGACGCGCGGTGGGTCCCGCGTGGGCGCCCCTCGTCGCCCCGACGGCGTCGCCACTACCTATGCAGTACCTGTCCCAGTGGCGGGGCGCGCCTCTAGGACAGGGTCTGCCTTGGTGCAGTACCCGTTATTCCAAGAGCCAGCTGCAGTTAGGAGCGAGCACCGCGCTGTACGAAATAAGGAGGGGGACGTGAACGGTGTGGGCGATGTTGCACTCGTGATGGCATCAGCATCCAGTTATGAAATGCAGCCGCAATAAATCAAATAAGATCGTGTACCGAGTTCGAAAAGTGGAAGTCAACGTTTACATTTGCCAACTTGTAAAAATAATGATACATTGGGCAGGAGGGTTTTCCATGCGGTGTGATGGATTTCAAATATTTAGGTTTGTCTGGGAAAGACTTCTGAACTGCAACAATGTAGCCCACTGGTTTATAGAATGTTGTCAGTCGCAAAATCTGCATCTGCATTTTTCTGCAAGCCTGTTATGTTCAATTAATGTAGACGAAATTTAACATCAAACTGACCATGGTGAGAGCTACAAGTGGCTGAAATCTGTTAATCATGTCTACTGTGTTTTAACTGGGAAGAACTTACATGGGGTGTTTTGGTAAAATTTTGCTTCATACTAATTCTGAGGAACACGTAAGTTTGAGTTGTATTGAAACTAGCTGAATTTCAAACAAATACTCTGTGAGTAGCAAGTAGCTTCTGTTCATTTAAGGAACATTGTTTCTAAAATTAAGCTACTTTGCTAGAGGAAATGGAATTGCCCTGCAGACAAAGTTGAAAACAATTAACTAAAATATTTTAAGAAGTTCTCCTACTTCCATTGCTGTTAACAGAGCCATAGAATGTTCGCCTACTCAATTATCAATTTAAAGGATAAATTTTGTAAATGCAAGAAACAGTATTTTCATTAAAAAGAAAAACCTGTTGCCTCTTTAAAAACTAATGTATGCTGCTTCAGTATGTGGCAAAATGATAAGTATTTTAGAGGGTACTAAGCTATTCATGTAATTTGATAGCGTAAAAGATTTAATTCCCCTTCTTAATCAGTTTCCTTATTTATTAAGCTCCCAGGCCCTGTGCTAAATCCTTTACATGTATATCTCACTTAATTTTCAAGGCAACCTTGTAATTTAGGTATGCTATTATCCCTATTTTGTGTAGGAGGAAAACACAGGGAGAAGGAGGTTAAGTAACTTCGCCAAGCCTATAGCTCATGAGTCCTGGATCTGGGATTCAATTCCACTTATATTTTATCCTATGTTCTTCACCCTTTTACTAACCCTATCCAATAAGTCAGGTTGAAACTTTTGATAATGTTCCACCATTGTTGATGGATAGAAATCGCAATTTCATATGGCTCACCTGGTTCTTCTAGGTAAACCAGATCAGAGTTAAAGAACAATAATCAATATTCATGTCCCATGTATTAAATCTCGTGTGGTTACAGCATTTATAGTAGCTATTATGTATTGCCTTTTCAAGTATACATAGATCACTTCTCTGCTCACAGTTCTTCCATGTTTCCCCTCTCAGATGAAAAACCCAAAGACCTTATCGAGGCCTTCAAGACCCCACATGCTCTGGACCCTGCTGCCTCGCTGACCTTCTTTCTTCTCTTCCCCTAGCACACTGAGCTCTCCCCCCCCCCCAGAATCCCTTCCCATCCTTAAACAGGCCAAGCATGCTTTCTACTCCAGGATTTTGCAGCTGGTGTCTCCTCTCTTTGCAGAGCATTCCTCACACATCTATAAGCCTGCCTCCCACGCTTTCTCAGGTCTTACCAGAGAAGGTTCCCCTTACCACCCTGTATGAGATAACACATGCAAATACACATACACACACTCCCTCTGTATTCTATCTGCTTACCCCCCCCCTTTTAATTATTTTCATAGCATTTATTTCTACCTGACATGTTCTATGGGTAAATTTGCCTCTCACCTCCCCCTACAATGTAAACTCCATGAGAGCAAGGGCTTTATTTTGTTCTGTGTGGAATTCCCAACACCTGGAACAGCATAGTACACGTAGGCACTCAAAAAATATATATATTCAAAAAAGTATTAAGTAGTTCTGCACCAGGAACTGTGCAAACCCCTTACCTATATTCTTTTAATCCTTAAAGCAAACATTTTAGATGTGAATAGCCAGACTTCAGAGGAGAGATGGTTGATGCTTCAGAGTAGTAAGTAGTTGGTCCCGTACAGGCAGAACCAGGTCCACAAAGGGAGATGCCTCTGGAGACAGCTGTGCTACCCACCATATCCCTTTTCTCTCTCACACTCCTGCCTCAGACCTTTTAGGTACCATCTTACCCCATTAATTACCTAACATATAACAAGTGCATGAAGAATACAAAAATTGTTGGGATACATCACTTGCCTTCAAGAAGCTTAAAAATCTAAAAGTTGTTATGGAAAGACTTTAATCACATTGTTACAAAAATATCTTTACAATATTCACAAGTTACAATGTACACATGGGCGAGCTTCATCTTGAAGATCTTTATAATAGCTTTTTCACTGTGAAAAACTATGTCATCTAATATGTTGACACTAAAAATGTTTCCACATCTAACATCAGTAATTAAACTTGAGTGGAAGTATATTTTCTGTTCTCTAAAATTTGATTGGCTTTATTTGCTTATTGCTATTCTTGACTTTTAAAACAGAAAATTTGAATATTCCAAACATTTCTTTCTTCCATCACCTTGGAGTTCTATCAGGAACTAAAATGTTCTTCGGACTTAAGAATCCAATCTTTAATGGCCTTTTGTCCCAAATGTGTTTGTGTTTTTGTTTTTGTTTTGTTTTCAATCTTTAATTCTTAAATCTTCCTACAAGGGAATGGGGCTTTCCTATAATCTTTTGTTTGTTTATTGTCTTAATTATGTTTGTTTATTATCTTCGATTTCTCAAGTGTCCTTTTCAATTGTTAGAAGTCTTATCAGCGATTATTTGGAAGGTTGAAAATGACACATTTTAAGTGTGAATATCTTAATCAACAAATATTTCAGGTACCTAGTATATCTAAATACCTGTTACTAACCCTAAGGCTAAGCTGGGAGTTAGGATCACATACATATGAAAAATTAACTAATAAAAGCAAGTGCTGAAGACAAAATGCCATAGGAATGGAAATGAGCACTACCACTTGGGGCCTGGAAGCCTAAGCAACACAGCCTGGGAGATGAGGGATACTGACAAAAACTTGGAAAGGGTCAGGCTGCAGAGTAGGAGTTTCCAGAAAGAGTAGTAGATGCCAGTTTTTGGTTAGCCTCAAATGTCAAGCTAAAGTGTTCGTGAAGAAGAGCCTCGGGAATTTTTTTAATACAAGGAAATGAATCAATCAAACAGTAACATGGATTCCTTTCAGGGAGGCATATTTATATATCTCTTAGTGTAGATGCACCATTTGTAAAATGAAAGGCATTGCTCTTCACAGCTGTTCTGTTAATTGTTCTGCCTTTTAAAACCACTAACATGATAGTTGCAGATGTAATACTAACATTTAGCTTAAACCACTGCACAGCAGTTAAATGTGAACTGATGGTGTAGAGTTTCTATTCATTTGACCCTAAATGAAACTTTAGAGGGAAAAATGTTCTCAGCCAGGATGCAGGCTTGTGCCAGGTAATCCCATCTTCATTCCACTCTTAAACTTAAACTAAAAAATAGCCATCTGTTAATTATAGGAATATGAGAGTGAATTAAAAATGCATTTTGTTCTGATCAACTTTCAGATTGATTCATGGGTTTAAGATTGCAAAACAACTTCCATAGTGTTCCCCTGGACTTGTTGATTTGTTGTCTTTTTCCTTCAAGATCTGGCTCATTCCGGATGAACCTGTAATTAGACTTTTTTAACATATTAAACAGATACAGTGTGATTCATAATCTATGCACTAGGGGTTTTGTTTTGTTTTTTAAATGCC